AATGAGCCGGAGCCAGTGTTGACTACTACAAACTTACTTTAACTTGATCTTTGAAGCCAAGCAAGCATAGCCACAAACTCATTTTATTTCGTATGACTCTCCCTTCAGTCGAGGGAACTGAATAGAAAAAAAATAACACTAAGATAACGATATTTACCGTGACATAATTTAGAAGTAAAACATAGTTTTGCACTTTCATGCTCACATGTAAAATTTATATCATCGAGATATGAGTATAGCAATACTTTATACACTAGAGGTAATATAACTTATGTTTCGTTCCTATTGTGAGAGTGATAGACAAATATAAAATAGTGTCGAAGTTTTTTGAAGCACATAGTATGCATTACAATCAATTGTACAACGAACATGTCACTAAAAAACTTGAACTACGCAAATGGTGGCACCATCTTTGGGTTAAGATCATCTTCATAGCTTTTATCGCTCTAACAATATTTGCAGTTACCCTCTCTTTGGTATTAAAATTCGTGATTCTTGTACCGAGAAAGGTAGAAACCACTATCGCTACCACTGCACCCATACTATCAATAACCACAACACTAACGACAGCATCAGGACAGTCAACAATAACAGCACTACCATTGACGACCAAAATATCAACAGTAACAACAGCATCACAAACAACCATAATATCAACATCAATGTCAATATTAACTGCGATTACTACTCAACATTCAGGTGAGATTTCTTGTAATGCTTTTTAACCACCTTAAGTGCTACTTTGCGCGTGGAGAAGTAAAAGAACAACACCTTGTTACGGCATTGGCTCGTCGTCGTCGTTAGATAACATCTTACCTTGAATCAGATACAACGCCAAATCCTTGAATAAAGTGCAACATGTAAGGTTTGACAACGGCTTCTATATATCCGACTATCTTCTGAAATCAACGAAACAAGATAGGTGTTGTGTTCCTCGATAGCCAATAAATTACCTAGAATACATGATGCAATTTCAAAATCGGTTTCTTTTGTTAAAATAATCACTGTAAATCTCATTTTTTTATATGTAAAAAAATGAGTTTTGTTCGGACAGTTACATACTCAGTGATGGATATTTTACTCGGCACAAGAACGACAGATCATCCTCATTAAAAGAATAGTGGAGATAGTCAAGAGAATTACATAAATTCAATATTTTTAATAGATGAGAGTTACATATATATATATCCGACGCAGATAATCGTCGACTTATTTATATTTCCCATTCAAAATGCATAAAAATATGCTGATTTTATGAATGTAGATCACAGAGAGAAAAAAGGGTTGAAGCGAATTAAATTAAAAATGGAAAAACCAGACATATCAGATATATGAATTAATCATGATCAGATTTTCTACATGTATACCAATGGAACTCGTAAAGATGTGTCGCTTCAGATGTTATCTTTTTGTTTAAAAGCAACGTTCAATATTAAAATTTGTTAGAGTCGACTGGGATGTAATGCCATATTTCATGAACTTAAAACTAATATTCAGTGAGTAAAAGATCTTTTTAATATATGTCAGCTATTACCAAGTATGCCAATTTTGTTAAGACATGATTGAACAGTTCTCATAGTAATATCTTTATAAAAATAATAAACGTGAGGGTAAAGAATGGCGGCTCATCAAAAGCTGGATCGATGGTTGAGCTGTCAATCATTAGACGATCGATGTTTCTCTTCGTTATCAAACAATAAACCATTAGAAAGTAGATAGTTAGATGATTACTTAAAGAAAGAATTGATTGCAAACACAAGCTCTAAAATAATAAAATTACTTGGAGTGGTTTGATTAAATTCATTTGAATCATTATAAACTTTCATCGATAATTATTCAATTACAAATCGATTATAAGCAAAAACAATAATAATCGAGCTTAGTAATTCATTTCTGATTGATTCTGATGGAATATATTTATTCATCTATAAACATAAACTTTTTAAAGCTAAGTTCTCGGCTGTTATAATCATGACGAAAAATCTATTTCCGATTGGTGATTTAAGGCATTTTTGTCTAATTTGGAGTGATCTTTGCAATTTTAAGAGATGTAACAGACAAAAAAGATTATCTAACTCAACTCAAAATGAGCAAAACTCTTTCAAGATCATCCAAAGCGACTAAATGTACGAAAGCCATTCTAGATTCCTCAAAGATCTTCGAGGATTCTCGTGAAATTTCAATAAATTTCATGACTTATGAGGTTGAGACTAAATTTGTTTTAATTCAAATCACTTTTTTTTTCGCATTATAGTCATACTTAATCGAAATAGTCGTCTAAACATCAATAATTTTGATTTTATTTCACTGTAAAAATAGTTGTATTAATTCTTTGCATAAGTTAAGCGAAATGAGTCTGTAAAGAAATCATGCCTCATTGGTAGAATGGGCCATACCTGGCTTCGAGAAGCTGAGTTCGAACTGCAAGCACAATAGGATACAGTCTCCGTCCTTTAATCACAATAAATCACTGTATTCCTTAGTCTAGGATTACTTTCGTATCTTCTTCGTCTGAGAAACACGAATATGACACTGAGCTTTATCAAAAAATATGAAGCCTATTATTGTCCTGTTTCATGAACAATATTTTTTACATTCCCAGCAATTCAGAAACTTTTGTCTTAAAAGGACTAAACAATTTTCACTTTACATTATCTAAACAAATCTACGCATGATTAGGCCATAGCGAAAGTTCTATAATCAAAATTCTTCCAGAATGAAAACATTGAAATATCTTCATCTAGAATGGTCTAAAACTAGTAGTATGAATCATGCACGACGGGATCATGCAGCATTCACATTAAAAAATGGAAAAGTATTAGTTTGTGGTGGATTTGATAATGGTGCAATGAATAGTGCTGAGTTGTATGATCCATCAACAGCAAATTGGACAACTATTGATAGTATGAATGATGCCCGAGGTGAACACACAGTATCCTCACTAAACAATGGCAAATTATTAATTACTGGTGGACTTAATAATCGAGATTTTCTGAATAGTATCGAGTTATATGATCCATCAAGCGAGACTTGGACAACTACTGGTAGCATGAATGATCCACGGGGGGAACATATGACATCTGTATTAACAAATGGAAAAGTTTTAGTGAGCGGTGGATACGGTAATGGTCATTGGCTTAATAGTGCTGAGCTGTATGATCCATCAACCGAGACTTGGACAACTATTGATAGCATGAATAGTACACGAAGTGAACACACAGCATCCGTATTAATGAATGGAAAAGTGTTAGTTACCGGTGGATTTGATAATAATGCTCTAAATAGTGCTGAGTTATATGATCCATTAACAGGTTTGTGGACAATCACTGGTAGTATGAATCATAAACGATGGAAACACACAGCAACCGTATTAGTAAATGGAAAAGTGTTAGTTATAGGTGGATTGGAACATAATGCTCTAAATAGTGTTGAACTGTATGATCCATTAACAGAAACGTGGACAGTTATTGATGATATGAATGTTGCACGAGGTGAACACACAGTATCCGTACTAGCCAATGGAAAAGTGCTAGTTACTGGTGGATCTCCTGGTGGTACGTCATTAAAAGATGCAGAATTATATTTATCATTGCAAACAAATTAACTCTAGTAACCCATATATAAAAAAGTCAGTGGAATAATCAAAAATTGTTCGATTATTTCAGCTTTTTCTGTCATAAGTTATCACCGTTTTTTTTTAAATCGAATATTAATTTATTAGTCTGCCATTAAAGATCATTGATGAACAGCAGCATTAATATATTTTAATTTCTATTCAAAATAAACAACAACTTATTAAAAGATCTTTGATTATAATCTAACATGGTGTGAATATCGGCGAAGAAGGGCAGCTAGCACAAATTCACACTCACCAAGAACTATGCCAATCCAACAGACTACAACTGATAAATAAACAGTGCCGCATACGTTCAAAGAAAACATCTTTATCAAATGAAATTAGTTTTTAAAGTTCAAGTGAGTACTGCAAAATGAAGAACTAACGAATACATAAAACTTCTCGATTAAGTGGTGTATTCCTCAAATGATATATACAAGGTGACCCAAAAGTCACGCACCCGAAAGAAAATTTAATATCTCCGTAATGGCTCGAGCAAACTAGCTTTTTTTATCAATGCTAGAGGCATGTTCTAGATTTATATCCATAAAGACATGCCTAGCGAGATCCTTTGTTAAGTATGTTTTTTCTTATAGAACTGAAGTATCATCACAAGAATAGTTAACTGTTACCATGTAGGACAAACAAAAGTTTCTGTCGTAACTCTGGACAAAAAACGACTGAAAAGTCATAGTTAAGGATAAAAAAAAGTTACCGTCAGAATCAGGGACAACTTTATTTCCGCTACTGTTAGATGTCTTCATTACAAGGTCTGTATCTTGATAAATGAAAATACAGTCGTCTTGAACCTTTAGACTATGATAGAGCATGATGCGCTCTACAAAAATGTCTCAGACATATCCCCTTCATTTCTCAACCGAAAAAGGAAAAAAAATAGATTTTTTTCTAAAATTGAGTTTTTCTATGTAATTTGTTAGAGGCGTCATCATTAGGGACATTTTTTTGCTGACCGTCAGGATTAGGAAACTACGACCTAATTCTGTCAGATGAAAGTATTTTTCGTAGACCGATCATTTCACTTTGAAAACATGAAAAATGAAAGACCAACAATTTATCGTTTGAAAGAGAAGAATCCAGAGATTACCTAAATATAAAAATATTTTTGATTGGATGTCAAATAGTCGCACACTAGTTGAAACAAAAAATGGTAAAATTTTTCTGACAGAATTAGGGAAATGTACTGTATGGTGTCAAAACACCTGGCGCGTGTGTGTACAAAAAGAGTACAGAAAACGGTATAAAATCATCGTACATTATCGTTGCAAGTTTTGACACTGTATGTAGG